ATATGTTTGCCTTATTTCACTTTGTGTTGACAGCAATGACCCACATGCATAAATCATAACTTGTTCGTTTTACACACACTCATGGTCGCACACACACACAAAGGAAGTATTCAAAATTTGGCGAGAATGGCTTTTCTCTTTTCGCAGAAAAAAATTACTTTTCTGGCTGTTACATATTTTTTAAGTCAACCGACCCATTTGTCCCCAATCAAATAAAGTGAAAACACTCTGCTGTGAGAAAGGGACTCCATTGTGCAGAAATTCAAATGCAATATATTAAAGCAAGAATTAGCAAAGAGCGTCGAGTGGAGTCGAGCGTTGACAGCGTTTGGGGAAATCAAAAGCGAAGAAACATGAATAAGCAAAGAGGAGAGCTCCACTCATGGCATGCAGACATCCATATGGGCAGAGGGACCTTTGCATATGCATATCTGAGTGGGAGGGCAAATTATGCATGCAAACGGGCCAGAAACTCCAGAAGGTATACAGAGAAAGTAGTTGCTCTTAATGAAATAGTTGTATTCTTCCAAAATAAGAAACTCCAAGGTCTCATTCATTTCTTCCCGTGTACAGAGCACATATCAGAGTAAACTCGATACTGGCAATCTAACGCTCCAGTGCGCTTTCAAGTATGCACCAGCTTCTGAGTGTATCTCAGTTTCGTTTGGATCTAAGCATCCGAACCAGAGAATGTGAAACGTTTCGAACCGAAATAGCTCCCATGTGGCGGGGCTGTCTTACGTGCCTGTACCCCTAGTCCGGGTCTTGTAACTGGAACGCCAGGAAGCCGAAACTCAATAATTTCCAATGCGAGGCACTCAATAGTTGAACCATAATTCCTTCCTCCTGCCCTCCTGTGTCTTAAATTCTACACCAGCAACCCTTTGCAAGGATGAAAAATGAACAGCCCTGCCGGGGAAAGACATCCAACATCCCAACCCCATCCAATCAAGACCAATCTGGACCAGTCAACAAGCACAGTCTCCTTGTTTTTCCTCCGATACCGCGTAGCTGTCATGCCAGGAGAACTTTAGGAGAGACAAGAAAAAAGCTGCACTGCCAGTGTCCTTGCTGAGGGTCTGCAGATACAAGTTGACCAAACTAGGTCAGTTTTGGCCAATTTATTGATTCCTATCAGGCAGTCAGTGGCATTGTAATACATGGTTATAAAAAATAATAGATCTCTAGTGATTTTCTAAAGTATTTTGTAAATAATTGTCTCTTTATGTATAGATTCGATATCTATGGAATATCATAAGTCAATCGCGTATTGTCTCTGACAACCGCAAGTGTCTGACAGCCGCATGTTTGTGGCTCCACCACAATCCTCTACCCCCATATCTAACCGCTAATGCTGTTGCATTATTACACAACACCTACTGACACGTCTCTGCGGTCGGCTGAGTAGTTAAATATATACAAATACGCATCGGATTATATTAGCTATTTGTTTGTCAGGCGGTGGGGAATCAAGTGAGTGCCGAGTTTAGCACGAACCCTTAAAATGTCACACAAATAAAGCCTGGCAATTACCACATGGTTGACTTTCTTTGTCTACTTAGAACTAGTTCTATCTGGAAACGATGACTAATAGTGAGAAGAAATATAAGCAGGATTTTCAGGAGCAGGAAAAGCTTCTCTATTTTTACAAAGTTCATATGCATAAAGGGTTTGTTTTTAATTAAGTTTCCCCTGAAAAGTCAAAGCACAAAAACGTTTGGCATTTAGAATTCCGGACTCATAATGCAGAAATAGAAAAACAAAAACTGGGCAAAAAATAATGCAAGTCGGAGAGCTGATTAAAATTTTGCAGCGACCGCAAATTAAAGCGAAAACATTTCGAGGGAGTCCGCATGTGTGCATGAGCTGGGGGCCAGGCCAGGATAAAAGTTGATCCTTTGCCGGGCCAACCACTGTGGGAAGCCACACCCAAGTGAAGTTGTAGAATATCCCGGAAGCCACAGCTATAGTAACTCTATAGTTACTCTATATTAAAGTTAAATATTATTAGTAAATTTCATTATTCAATAATATTTAAGAATGTATCTTTGTAGACCCTTAGGTTCTATTTGTGTAACCATTATTGTACTATACAGCCACCGTCCTCTTGCACGTCCAAGTATAACGCAAATAAATTGCACATTCAGAGTAAAATTAACATGACACGGCGGGTTAGAGGCAGCAGGGCAGAGCATCAGCTGAACTGGGTGGAGCCATAACGAAGCTTAAACACAAAAATATGCGAGGACCAACAAAAAATAGAAGGAGAAAGCCGAAAATAGCGGAAGGCACCACACGACGAGGAAATAAAAACGAAAGTATATATGACTTTCTATTTAGGTTTTTTCTGAGTTTTTGCGTTCTCAGCCCGGATTGCGCTTCGGTTGGGGTTTTTTGCGAGCATCAGCAACAAAATGCAGACAGCAAACAGGATGCAGGAGACTTCATAATTTACGAAGTCGAGCAACGCGCTGAGGATATCCGTTTTGGGCATTCCCATGATTGAGGTTGGCCCCACGTCTATGTCAGTATCTCCGCATTCATGACGGTATTTGCCTACTTCCCTATGCATGAACCGTAGTGGATTACAAGCGTAAATGCACTGCAAAAAATAACTCTCTTCTAAAAGATTTTGTAGGACGAGCAAAATCACCCTTTTTCTCAGTGCCTTCGGGGGAAACATCGCGTTTGGCATTTAAATTGATGTATTCCGAGGCTCGAGCTTTGTGGCCATGACTGTCATAAATGTGATAAGGGATGATGTGCCTTGTTTCCTCTGATATGCCCTGCCCTCGTCCTGGCATTTTGGGCTGACTGTTTCGTCTTAATTAATAAGTCAATAGCCAGAATGCTTGGGGCTGCTTACGATGCCAGCTGCTCTCCTCCATAATTTAGTTAATGCGCGCCTAAACTAAGGCTGTTGTCAGACAACCCCTCTAATGGGCCTCCCCCGGCTGTAAGCCCAAATCACAGATGCTTGTGCCCAACAAAGTGGCACAGATAGAAGCAATTTGCCTGCGAGACAAGGTGACAAAGGTGCCGAGATGAGGCTCACGTGTATGTAATGGTGGTCATAACAAAGGCAGCTTTGAGTCATGCAGAAATGGGGATGCCCTGCGGGTACTTCATTAGAGGAGAAATAAAAAGGCTTAGCCGAGAGAAAAACTGGGAAAGTGTGTATAAATCTATGAAATAAAATGGAAATCATTCTATTCTCGTAGTTTAGTTAACGGCCTTTAAAATTGAAGCCCAACTCCATTAGCTCGCTTGCCAGGAAGTGTTGAAAAGTTACTTTAACGCCGGCGCTTAATTTCGTTACGAGGCTCCATGCACATTTTCGCCATTTCGTTACATTTTCATAATGGGGAAAACTAAAATCAAGTTGACAGCCAATCGATGGCTATTCTATGGTTGTTCTCAGTGTGCACACTCGATATATAAATGAAATGGTCATATTCATGCCCATTCGGGGTCTGAATAATACATGGCAGCAGTAAAAGTTATGTTTATTGGCACACAGCCGAGGAGGAGAGAAGAGGAGGCTTCTCTGATAAAAGCTGAAAAATATATTTAGCTTGATTGGTTCCACCCTCCCATCTTGGGCCTCGGACTGTGCCTCTGCCTCGATTAAATTCTTCTATATTTATTTGGCTACGCATTCCAAAAACAATTAATTTCGTTGGACTACAAAAAAGTGGCCTGTCCTTCCGTTTCGCACCCGCTGCTGTGTTGTTGTTGTCTAATGCCTGTAATTTGTTTTGAAAATAAACACTCGCATGGCCACACTTTCATGCTTTGATTGATGTGCGCCGAACTTCCCCCTTCCCCTCCCTCCTGGCTATTCTTTTTAAAGCCTCCATCATCCAGCACATGGTGCGGTTTCGGTTGCCGGGCCATAACAAATAAATCAACTTGCAGCTGGGTGTATGGGTGTGTAAAGCATCATCGTCATGAGTTCATTTTTAATTAAAAATTGCGCCAAATCGAATAATATATTAAATGTTTATTCGAAGGAGAGGAAAAACAAACTATCGTAATAGCCCTGTGACGCACATAAAAGTTGATAAGTGAAAGCCTAGCCACCAACTAAACAGAAATCATCTGGAAGCCATAAGCGAAGCATAAAACTTAATACTCATCGGCTATGTAAATACCAGCACGCACTTTCGGAGAAAACTTGTGTCATTCAATTATTTGGCTATTAGGTGCTCGTGACACTCCACTTTGCAAGGCATGCTGCCCACACGTTGCCGTTGCCACTCGCCCTCGGAGATAGGTACCAGCCTCAGTGGCCGGGCTTCAGATACAGATATGTACCTACGGCCCTTGTCAGTACGGCCATGATTAATAAATGCGACACACTGTCGACCGCAACATTACTGACACCTCCAGAAGGCCATCACCAAGGTGGGCTTTCCAATCCCTCTTCTGGAGACTGTTCTTGCAGAGCAATAGCCACATGACTAACTCACTCATGCACAGGGATAAATTAAGACTAGAAGATACTGAGGTGAAAGCAATTTCTTGGGTACTATTCTCAGTGTATGGAGTGGGCAAACTTTGGCTCTTTTGTCACAAACAGGTGACAAGACCAGGAGACACAACGTGTTCTAACTTCTCTCAAGAGGCAGCCGCAAGGCGTACAAGAGCCACAAACCTCCAAAGATGAATGGAGATGTGGGCATGTGAATATTTAAAATTTAAGAGCAGTCAGATATTGTGGTTTACTCCATAGAAGGAGTAAAAAGAAGTCTAATTAGCTTTCCCTAGCAACCTAACACGGAGGAACTGTATAAAGTTTCAATTAAATTTCTAGAAATTGTGAATCTGTAATAGGTCCTTTTTCAAACTCATTTTAGTTCAATGAGAGCCAAGTTAAATGGCCTCTTACTGAACCCGCATGAAATTTGAATGACCCTCTTAGCCATGGCTCCTTGCCCTTGTCAAATCCAATTAACTAAGATACTTATACGCCTTCATCACTTCCCTTGCAGATCGAGGACAGCCCGTTGGCCCGCAGCGTCCAAAGCATTCAATCAAGCCTGAAATCAAGCCCAAAACTTGAAAAGGGCACATTTTCGGATTCGCCAATTCAAATCTTGAAACTAAATGACGCCTGTGTCTGAGACCCTGCTGCCACATACCGCAACGCTGGACGATAGACGACGGCCACAAATTAGCCAACGCCAACCAGTCGAAGACATCCAAGTCTAGGCCAAGAGGGAGAGCTTTGTGAAAAGAACCCAACCGAACCAAAATCGGGAGAAACATCAAAAGGACTGCTGAACAACGTGTGTGTGTTTGAGCGTCTGCGACTAATTTTTCGAGAGCGCCAAAGGATTCATTAAAAAACCGCCAACCTGGAACTAATGGAATTAGAGAATATTGTGGCCAATACGGTCTACTTAAAAGCGAGAGAAGGTAAGTGCCATTTGTAACTACTAGTTCTAGCGCTCATGTTTTAAAATCTTTAACTTAAAGGCCACCAATTAGTTACCGTCAGTCCAATTTAAATATGGTTGGGTCCTTGATTGTGTCACTTTCCATGCCCCAATTTCAATAGTGCTTCAGAACAGTTGTCCCACTTTTTTTTTGTGGATGCCACATCCTTGGAGGGCACGTGCTGAAGTGGCCCGCCTGTCACCTTGTCATCGATTTTTTGCGGCCCACACCTTCCTGGCGCTCAGCCTGCCTGCCGGGGGTGGCACGTTTAATTGTAGGGATTGAAGTTTGTCTCCCTTTCCCATGGCGCCTGATGCCTTCCCTGTGTTTTCGCCTGGTGCTGGGCTTTATCTAAAGTTAATGAAGCGTTAAATGTTTGCGCTCCAGCAACTTATTCATTTTCATGCTCCATGCTGCCGGGCTTTAAGTGCTCTATTGGACGCACCCGCAGATACACTTTACTTCGTTATCGAGGTCACACTTCGATTGCAGGACCCTCAGCTGAGCCCTCATCCGAACCCTCAGCCTCGCTGCCAAGTTCAGTGCCGTCTCAAGGAACTCCGCCCACTCCGTTTTCGGCGCCATTGTTCTGTTTATTTACAGCAAAGTCAACTTTGGCGATTAGGTCGCTGGCAAATTTATGCAAAGTTATGCATTAAACGGCGAAAAAAAGTTTATGCAAGCCATCTAGCCAGTAGGGGTCACCTTCAGAGAGAGATACTCGTACTATATCTGAGAGATCCGCTGCACTAACCAGAATGTTGCACATCGAGTATCCTTTTCTACTCAGCAGCACTCCCAATCAAATATTTCATTTTAAATGTTATTTATTTTATTGCTGTCGGGCCGATAGTAAAAGCACACCCCGCCCGACCAGCATAAAATGTATCTGGCAGATACTTTGGTTCGTTTGCTTCCAGGCCGCCTCAACAGATTTAAATGACAGAAACGTGCGCAAAATTTCAATTTGTAGTAATGTAATATTTTAGAGCGGAGGCAGAATGAGAATGGAAGTGGGTCGGGGTCTGAGTCTGGTCGGGTCTAGGCAAATGCTTCTGCCTCATCCAGATGAGCATTCACATTTGCAATACACTTTACGAGTCAAAAAGTTAATTTGTCTTTTCAAAAGCCGGAATAGCATAAAATGGAGTCGCACCGCCAAATGCCGACGGCAGCGCGAAGGAAATCCATTGCCATAAACTTTTTCCAACCAAGGCATTTCTTTCTATTGCGTTTCTTTGCCGGAAAAGTTTGCTCTCTCCTCCATGTTTTTTTTTTTGACCAGAAAAGTTATTGCTGTATTTTATACTCCAGCATTGTGGCAGTGCCAGCTGAAGTATGCAAATCTAGAGGACGGATGATGGTTAGTGTCGGGAGGATAGTGTTTCCCCGAGTTGTATCTCATAATTAAGTCTTTAACTTTCAAATCACTATACTCCAAGCATAGCCTATTATATTATACTGGTTATTATACCTCCATCACTATTTTGAGTTAATTGCTGACTATCGTTATAATATCATAGATTAGCAATTGTTTTTCTGACACGTCACATGTCGGCTCACATAATTGACTATTGTATTGGGTGTCGATATCAGGGCTGACCCCGAATGCAAGTCAAGTAGAAGTCATCAGAGTAGGCTGTCAGAGTTGGTCTGCAAAAGCAATTTCCCCGTATCAGTTGTCAGCTTGTCGCATTATGGGCTGTTGTCGATGCTATCTGCGCCACTTATGTATGTGCGACTGGATGGGATCAGGCCGGGGTCGGGGGCTAGAGCCGGGGCTATAGCTAAAACCTCGGACGTCACTCAGAGCAGGCAGTGCGTCACAGAGCGATCGCCTTATCGCCTGTTGTTGGGTTGCTGGTCTCGGTGGTGCGGAGACTGCATTCTGTGATTGCCAGCCTGACCAATGACCGTCCGGCCACGCCCCACAAGGTGTCGTCCCGGCTGCAACATCTGGTCTATGGAGTTGTTTGGCTAATTGAATGCATTCCTTAATGACAACAACCGTCTCTGGGTCTCTTCTTTGCGGTGGCATTAGGAAAAATTATGTTTGCATTCCACCGACTTTTCTTCTTCTGGGTTTTCCCATTTTTTCCACTCTTCATCATCGTGGTGGGGCATTAAGATGACGTCGCATTAAAATAGTACTGCGACAGAGGGGGACACAGAGTTGGGCAGAAGCGCCATCGCCGCATAAATTTCATCCTAATGCCTGGCCATAATGCTGATTATACCGAGCGGCAGACGCTCTCGACTCCACTGCTGAATTTCAGACTCTCTTCGAAGTTAGAATAAAGTGAAAAATTTAATTTCGTCGCAGCTGAAAAGTTGTGGTGCACTCCTCTTCTGGTTATCAGCTTTAGCAAGTGCCATAAGGAGTGGAATTTATAGAGCGATAGCGAATTAAAGTCCTCATCTAGAAGTGAACAATTAAGTGGAGAGGCGACTCAGAAGCTTATCGTTTGGCTTAGAGCAGCCACTGCCACTTGTTGGGCGGCGACTTTTGATGTTCCCACTCCCCAAACCACTTTGGATGAAAGTCATTTCCATAAAAATAAAATAAATTTCATAATTTTAAAAACTGAGTCAGACCTTACTTAGTTCTAGTCTCAGAATCCGTATTAATTGGTTGTTACTATTCGCCCACAAACATCCATCACTTGTAGGTGGAACAGGTGCAGCCAGCCACTGGAGAACAGGTCACTGAACTCGACCAGTGGTCAACAATCGCTCCAGCGACTCGGAGTCAGTCAGGCAAGAGTAGCCGACTCGGAATCGGAGCTGTCGCCGCCAACACAGAAACACGCAAATTCGTTTCAAGTGTTCTGCTCTTTATCGGGTCTAAACAAGCCCTTAGTATGTTGTATGTATGCTAAGCAGTTAAAAATCTAGATGTTAATTATCGCACGCAACACAAGTGCCCCTCACCCTGGACACTGGCCACTGAGGCCTGGACGACAGCTGTAATTGGCTGTAGGCAGCCTGGCAGTTGGACAACTCATCAAACAGGCTTTCTCCAACTGCAGTAGCACCAGTACCAGTAGCAGGATCCTGACCCAGGGGAATGAATGTGCAGAGAGACTGAAGGAGTAGGATGATGGGCGGTTGGATGGTTGGGTACCACCATCATGGCTGCAATGCGGTCTGTGGTGTCTTTTGTGTGGTACCCTGGCCCTGGGCTTATCTGCAGTTGCAGCACGTACACCATACACCCACAGCCTTTGGAGCAACTAATTTGCAATGCCAACATCTGACAAAAGCAGTATCTCTGCCTCCCAGTCGCTCTCGTCCTGGTAATGGAAATCAAAACGATTGTTGTTCTGCAAATTGACGATGCATTGATTGGCAAGAAAACGGGGAGAGCGATTGTTGCCAATCACCACATCCACATCCATATCCACATCCCCAATCGCTCTAATTGTACATTTAAAATGCCGTCAACGGAGTGCTGTGTTGTGGTAAATCGAGGCACATTAGCTCCCGAGGCTCTGTTGAAAGTACATGAATCTAATGTCTAACCAGATAGCTCAGTCTGTGAACATTTCCGCTGACGGGCAGAAACAATATTCATTAACACTTTGACGCGCTTAAGTAATATGCGAATGACGCTGCATAGGAGTTTGTTTATCCCCTAGCTCCGACTGTCAGGTACTCTATTTATTTATTTAAGATTCATCTCCTTTTATGCCTAATCTGAATATGGATATTGAAAAGGTGTGAAAGCTTCTTAGTTTCAAAGTTTAGTTATTAAAGGCCAAAGGCTATTGTTTTCTTTTCGTTCAGAATGTGGAAATTTTCATTATGGGTATTTGGAAGAAAATCGCATGGCTTATTCCAGTGGGAAACCTCAAATACCCGGCCCAGGCCAAATGTGGAACTAACATGATGCAAACAAATCTAGCCAAGCACTTTGTGTCGAGTGTGTTCCATGTTTATACGATGTCTGTTTTTTTTGTTATTTATATTTTTGGTATTGGTTTTGTTGTTGCCGCTGTGGGAATTCAAGAGATTGCTTTTGAAAAACCGGTAGCACCGACCGACAGTTGTTGTTGCCGGCTGCCGGGGGAGTCGCATACAGATACAAACTGCTTTTGACGTAGGCACAGGCACTACACCAATAATCGGAACAGCAAAAACAACAGCCAGAGCAAAAGCAAAAGCAATAATAAGAAATAACATCGAAACGTCGACCCCCGGCATACGAGAATCGGAATCGGAATCGAATCGAATGGATGTATTAAGTGACGCGCTGCTGCGTCAGCAAATGAATATTCAATCAGAATATTTAATCGCATTGTCGAAGGCGTATGCGGAATATCCGAAATATGAGTATTCAAATCAATTTTTTGGCAAGGCCTAAATGCTATCGGCGTTCTCTGGAGAATTTTGGTAATTTGTCTTCGTCTTCCATTCAACCTTCTATGTTAATTGATTGAAATTGATATATTTATGCGACTGTATTCAGATTGTTATCAGATGCTGTTCCACTGATTCCACTTTTACGATTCAATCTAGTTAGAGTTTTTGGAATTTTAATGAATCTTATTATTATAATAGGAAAGGGAATCCCCTCTCTCTTTGGAATTAATTTGTTCTAATTTTAGAGTTTTATATTTCTTTTATTTTATGGTCGTAATTCCACCTCTGCCACTGTGTCCTTAGCATAATGATTATATCTGTATATTTCTATTTCATTCAATATTTATTTCTGAAAACCTCAAAATAAATATCTGCAGATACACACACAGCAGAAAATAAATGAAAATACCTGTCATCTAATACTAATAATTTTCTAATAACTAGTAAAGGGTACTAGTTCGTATACCCTTTTTGTAAATATTTTTTTTGCAGTGCTGGATCAACTGTGTCCTTGCTCTGGGTCGGTCGCTAACGTGCTTAAAAATGCATGCACTAATGACCGCAGCAACGACAGGTCCATGTAAACACAAATACAGTCCTGCAACAACAATGTGGAC